GACTACTGTACAACTACTCACAAGAAATGTCCACGCCACACAGGGGATAATGAAAATGGTCTTAATTTATTCTTTTAAATATTTATTTTTTTGTATATGAGTGCTTTGTTTTCATGCACACCAGAAGAAAGAATAAGATTCCAATACAGATAGTCGAAAGCTGCCATGTGGTTACTGGGAATTGAACTCGGGTCCTCTGGAAGAGCAGCCAGCACTCTTAACCACCGAGCCATTTCTCCAGCCCAAATAGTCTTAATTTAGATTGTGATCACACAATTCTGTGGAATATTAAAGTCTATTAAATTACAGTTTACATAATGTTATATTTTGCATTGTTTGTGAGATCAGATTTTATGTAGCCCAGGCTGGTCTTGAACTCAATGAGTAGCAATGATGACCTTGAACACGCCACCTGCCAGAATACTAATATTTTTGGTTTGGAGCTGATATTTTTAAGACCTCTGAGATGTAACTCACCAAACTGGTAAATATAAAATGGTCTGACAATCCAAAGAGCCATCCAGGACCATTTGAAAACAGTTTGAAAAACAGCTTGAACTACCTCCTAAAATTGAAGCTGGACATGTCCCAACAGCCTCAACTCTCCAGTCTTGCCCTGGAGACACACTTTCGCAATTTGTGTCTAAATTGTTGACAGCAGCTTTCTCTTACTGGAAACAATCCTACTTTCCGACAACAGGACAAAGAATAAAATGCAACACATTCAATCCGAAACATAACACAGAGGCAAAGTGGAATGAACTCGGGCTGTATGAATGATTGTGGACACACCTCACTAGCTGCCTTCCCAGCTAATAGCAGTAATCTCTCTCTCTCACACACACACACCACCTCTGTAGCCCACAAGCCCTGTTAAAGGAAGCACTCTGCAATTAACTCTCAATGCAGATACCCCCTACCCCCCACAGAAGCCCTTCACATTCCAGCTTCAAACTTCAACCTTTCTCCTCTCTTCACGCCCTACTCACCAACTCCTTATTCTCACCCCCCTTTCCGTTTCCCTGGGGAAAATGTGGGCAGTAAAGAAAATATTCACGTTTCCACTGTCCACCTACCCCCATTCCACTCTACCTCTCCCACCAAGAAGGAACAAAGGCCAGCTCTCCATGTAAACACTTAGCTCAGTGCTAGTGTCTACCCTGGACTAAGGGAATGGGAAGGGCCCGCAGAGTGTGGCTTCTCCTGCTTCACCAAGTTATTTCTCCTGCACAGTAGCACTTCTTCAGGCACACTGTAGCTGTCTGATTGGGGAATATGCCCCCCCAAAGGCTCTTGTTTGGATACTTGGTCCCCAGTGGTGGAACTGTTTGGGAAGCAGTAGGTCTGCCTTTAGAGGAGTTATGTCCCTAGTAGTGAGCTTTGAGGTTTCAAAGACTCCAGCCATCCAATGTGCTTCCTCTCTACAGATCTAACCTCTCAGCTACTGCTCCACTGCCACTGCCTGCCTGCCTACTGCCATGCTCCCCACCACAACAGCAATGGACTTGTATCCCAAAAACTGCAAGCTCCAAATAAACCCGCCCCTCTATGAATTGCCTTGGTCATATTGTTTTTATCAGAGCAACAGAAACACAGCAAAAGTTAACACACACACTAAAGCACCGAAGGCACACTAAGACACCAATTTCCGACTTTACCCATTTTAGTAAACTCTTTGGCATAGTCACGCCTTCTACCCCAGGCCAAGTTCCCAAAAGAGCGCACTGTCTACTCTATGTCTATCCAGGTTTCTCACACGTCCTTGTGAGAACTGCTCATCAGGATCATTCATGGCTTCTATGCCATCAAAACCAGGAGAGAGCCCAAGCTCTCATCAGGCCTGACTTTAAAAGCCCCAGCATCCATGGCAGGTTCCCACCAGCCCTCACAGCCACTGCCCTTACCTGGTTCTGCACACTTGCTCATAGCCTACTATGCCATCTAAAGACAGAGGATTTACACTGGTGTGCTGCCCAGCCCTCCCTCCTCTAAACTAAATTCTGTGTGCTCAAAGTGTCCCAAATCTAAATCCAACTCCTGATGTGGCCTTTTCCTCTTCCTGCAGCAAGCAGAAGTTCCTACTGTCACCCTTTACTTCTCTTACACCCACATTCAGTCTGCCAGCAAATCTCATCTACTCTTGCTCCAAGAAGGATCCAGACTCCAACCACTTCTCAGTGCCACTCCTGGTCCCCTTCAGACCAAGCTACCATGACTGCTCTGCTGGATCACTGCCACGGCCTTCTAAAGCCGTTCCTGACAGCTGCACAGGGACAGCTATTCTTAACTTAGTTGCAATGGGATCGTTCAGAAACCAGACCATGTCACACCTCTGGCTCAAAACAGACCTATTTTACCACTTTCCCTAGGGCTCTTCCCTCCAACACAACAAGCATAACCCCCTTCGTAGTACCTCAAGTGTTCTGGACTCTACCTATAATGATGCTTCCACATACCCATTGCCTCTTGCCTTGAGCTTTCACTTTCTAGACAAAGGGTCCTTCTCAGGGAGGCCTAATCTGAGCACTGCCTTTCAATGAGAAAACAGCCCACCCTTTCCCTCCTCTGCTGGCTCCTATCAGTATCCATATGGCTACTATATCATTTATTATCTGTGAACTGTCTGTCTGACACTTAAGTCAGACATTGCATGAGAACAGGAACATTATTAAGACAGTAAGTACTCAAACATCTGGAAAACAAAATGGATCTTGAGAACAATGTTAAAAGAGAGATGTCACAGAATAAAAGATTCAATTTATATATGTTATAATAGTATGGAAATATTAAGTCACATAATATAAAGAGACATTCATAGATAGCAACATAGAAGTAAAGGAATAAAACGCCTTGAACAGGTCTGAGAGAAGGTGGTCAGGGAGGACAGACAGGACCAACGTAGTGACAATACTTTCTGAAACTGGCTAATGCCAGTATAACTTTCAGTTCTAATTCTTCTTATCTGTACCCATTATAACATACACTCTTTGAATGTATGAACTCATCAGACTTATAAATAATAAAAACTCTAGGCTGGGTGTGGCAGCTAATGCCTTTAATTCGAGTATTCATGATTTCTGAGATTGAGACCAGCCTGGTCTACAGAGAGAGAGAGTTCTAGGACATCCAGGGTTACACAAAGAAACCCTGTCTCAAAAAAAAAAAAAAAAAAGAGAGAGAGAGAGAGAGAATGAGACAGACTGCATCATCTGCAGACATGCACCGATCCTTCAAGGTTCAGTATGTATCCACATAGTGTTGAAAGACATACAGTCCAGCCAGGCAGTGGTGGTACACACCTTAAAATCCAGCACTCAGGAGGCAAAGGCAGGCGGATCACTGAATTCGACGCCAGCCTGGTCTACAGTGCGAGTTCCAGGACAGCCAGGGCTACACAGAAACCTTGCTGCAAGAAAAAAAAGAAAAACGAAAAACATACATATAGCTCTACAGCACACAGGAAAAACCACAGCATAGACAGCTGTGTTTCTATCATTCTGAGAGCCAGTAAGAAAGGGATTGTAAATTTTCTCTTTTATTTGTGTGTGTATGTGCCTCTGTGGGTTGTCCATACATGCCAGTACAGTGCCTGCAGAGGAAGGGGTGTAACATCACCTGTATGTATTGGGAGTTGCAGGTGAGCTACCTGCTTGCAGGTGCTAGGAACAAAACTCCAGGCCTCTGGAAGATTGGTACAAGCTCTTAATCATGAGCCACTCATCCCCAAAACAGATTTTAAAGATACACTCTTAAAAAAAAAAAAAAAAAATTATTTATTTATTTAATGTATGAGTGCTCTATTTGCATGTATACCTGATGCCAGAAGAGGGCATCAGATTCCAGTATAGATGGTTGCGAGCCACCATGCAGTTGCTGGGAGTCGAACTCAGGACCTCTGGAAGAACAAATAGTGCCCTTATCCACTGAGCCATCTCTCTAGCCCAAAGATAAATGTTTTAGAAATCATACTTCAAAATCTCAAATGTATGCCTTCTCAGCCAGAGAAAAGATGTTACATTTGTATGTGTGTTTATCTACATGTAAAATAAACATGTAACACAATCACAGTTTAAAGAAAAAAAAAACTCTGATATAAATTCTCCAAAATTTCCCTCAACAAAAATCCCCAGCAGCCAGAACTTCTCCAGAGCCTCTGGTTGGCCAGAACACATATCTCCCCTTAGGGTTCTCACTGGCCTAGAAGAGCTGTTTCTATACACAGCTCTACTGTCAGAGAGAACAGTAATGAAAATTATGTAAGTATAACTATACTCAGGAACTGTACTGAAGCCAACACTATTCATTCACAGACAGGGAACAGAGAGGAAGACTGGTATTAGATTCACACAGCTGGAAAACTATATGTGCTGTTTTAAGGCCACTCAAGACCACTACCTTAGGCTTGTACATTCTTGACCACAAAACTTTCTGACCTGAGGACAGATGGCAAGCCCTACATGAGCAGCAAAGTACTATAACCATGGCAGGTGCCAAATGTATAGGTGCCGAGCCCACTTGAAAGTTAACCTCAATCAGAAAGGCCTATACCCAGCTCCTCAAGAGGCCAAGGCAAGAGTGTTACAAGTCTGAAGCTAACATGGACTTCATAGCGAGAGCCTACCTAAATGAATAAAAAGTAATTTAGTCTAGAATATGTTATCTTCAAGAAAACACCTTGTTGCTGCTTAGCTGTCTGGCCAAAACCAAGTGAGTACTAAGCACTCTAAAAAACAGTCAGCACCAACTAGCTGTAAGGTTTAAGTAATCCAAAACTTACACTGGAGCAAATCCAGCTCTGACAAACTCATGACGTACAGATGTCCTGGTTAGGCATAGAACTAGAATCCTCTACATGCTTCTCCAAATGCCTTCTTAATCGCCACTCCAACTAGAATCCAGAAGAGTGTCTAAACTCTCAGAACCTGAAATAAACTGATCACTCTTCTAACTATCTTCCTTTCCAGTAAAGGGGAAAGGACTTTCTTAAAAACTAATGAAAGGTGCTTGCTTTGGCAGCACATACACTAAAACTGGAACAATACAGTAACCATTCTGGCCCCTGTGCAAGGATGACACACAAATCCCTAAAGCATTTCATATTTTTCAGACTATGGCTACAAATCCTGAGGCCATCAAAGTAAGGAAAGGAGTGGAAGAGGAAAGAAATAGGGAGGCACAGATAATTCAGCAGTACCTTGTCCAATTCCTGCAAGAGGATGATTTGGGTGGAGGCCTTTACAAAACTGATGCTCCAGATAAATGAAGCTGAGATCCAGGTCATAAAGAATTTGACTAAAGTCTCAGTGAAAGAGAAACTGAAAACGCTGAGAAAAGAACTACCAGAGCTGACAAAAGACCTGAAAGTCAAGTTGACAGAAGTGAATGATGAGTGAGAGTCATTGTTACAGCTGTGGAGAAAGGGATCATACCAACAGGAAAGGAAGCAGATATCTGATGACTAAGAGTAACCTCTCTGTGAACTACTGCTCCAACATCCGTTTTTATTTGATCTTGAAAGCCAGGAGAGTGCCTGCGTAGACATCTTGTCATAGAAAGGCTTGTTACCTACAGAGATCTGATCAACATGTCAGTTGTGAAAATTGTACTTTGAACTCCTTCACTTATACACAGCCAAGGATGTTGCTGTAAACAAAGAACTGAATCCAAAAGCAAAATTAACTAAAGCCAAGGCAAAGCCTGTTTCACAGACTGCTGCTGCTGCTGTTAATCTGTCTAGTGATCCTGACTGAGTCTGATGAAGCTGCACTAGTACTATAAGGAAATCAAAGACAGGCAAAAACTGAAGAGAAGAGTGCTGAAGAACAGGCTCTCAACGATCAAAATGCAAAGAGCGCCATTACCTAGCAGAGTTCTAAAAAAAGGGGACCTGCACCTAGGAGAAAGGAAAACTAACAGAAATATCAGAGTAAATAGGGAAAAGTTCAGAGAAGGCAAAATTTTAAGAAGAGGCCAGGTTATGTGGTTCATAGAAAAGAGAATTGATAGTCGGACAATCTTTAATTCCAGCATTTGGGAGGCAGAGGCAGGTATCTCTGAGTTAGAGGCCAGCCTGGTCTACAGAATGAGTTCCAGGCTACAGCCAGGGCCACACAGAGAAGCCCTGTCTCAGAAAAACAAAAACAAACAAAAAGAGCACTGGAGTAGTGATGAACTATCTGGCATTTGTGCTGGAGTTAAAAAAAAAAAAAAAAAAAAAAAAAAAAGGATTAAACTTAAGTTGCTCCTCAGCCTGGCAATTATTTTAGATCAATGGAAGTATTTTAAACTTCAAGGCCAATCCTAAAGAGTGAGTTCCAAGACAGGCAGAGCTACACAGAGAAACCCTGTCTCAAAAACAAAAAACAAAACAAACAAACAAAAAAAAAACATTTTAAACAAAGTTTGAAAAAATATTACATTTATTTCTTTGTTGTGTAAGCAGGAAAGACAATAAAGGTGCCAAAGCATGCGCGTGGAGATAAGAGGACAACTTGCCAAAGTTGTTTTTTTCCTTCTACTACAGTAGGTCCTGAAGAGGAAACACGGATGCTCACCTGACCCCTTATCAGTCTAGATCCCCACACTTCCAGCACTTCAGTGACAAGAATGATGCTCAAGGTGTTCGGAAAAATGTATAGGAATTTGGCAAGCTGAGGTAGGAGCTTTTAACTTTACCTCAACTAAAAGGTCAATCTGAGCCACAGGGCAAGAATCTGTATCAAAATGGGAGTTAGGGATATCAGACCTAGCAAAGAGAGAGGGAAAAAACACACAGAGGAGACTTGATGAGTCTGGAAGCAGAGAGTCTCAAATATCTTGTTATCACACAGCTGCTTCAGCTGCCTGGGAGGACCAGCAGTCCTTTTGAAACCACCCAAATCCAGGAGACCATTCTGAGAAATCAAGTAATATATATATATATTTAATGTGTATGTGCCTGAGCATATGTATCCTTGTGTACCACATGTGTGCAGGAGCCTGCAGAAGTCAGGAAACATCGAAACACCAAGTGGCATTAAAGGCAGTTGTGAGACACCATGTGAGTGCTGGAACTGAACCCAGATTCTCGTTAAGAGCAGCCAGTGTTCGAACTACTGAGCCATCTCTCTCCCCAACTTAAGACAAGTCTTGTTAAACTGCCCAGGCAGACTCTGAACTTGCTATCCTCCTACCTCAACCTCCCAAGTAGCTGGGTTACAGGCCTATACCACCTGGCACATTTGTTTGTTTGCTTGTTTACAAGACTTCTGGCAACCTCAGCTACCCAAAGTTCAAACAAGTAAGCCAGTCAACCAATAGCAGACCTTTTCCCTAAGGCTTCTACTTACATCTTATCTGGCCATACCTCATGAATGGCAGGATATTGCTACTAGGAGATAGCTTCTCTATCTTTAAAACTTCTCTAGATTACTTAAAATCAATACAATGTGATACTGTGTAACAGATGTTATACTGCATTATTCAGGCAATGAAGGTAAAATTGAAATTCTCTGCATGTTCAATACAGATGCAGACCCAACCAGCAACCATCTAAAAAAGCTGGGACATAAGACACATAACAACAAGCACTCAAAACAGGAGGCGGCAGACACTGGTGATCCACGAAGTGGCCAGTGGTTCATTCAAATTTGGCTTTTTAGAACTTTCTGGAACTTAATACATTTAATCCATGCTTCATAAACTGATAGATATGGAGCCCAAGGATACAAAGGGCTGAATATATAATACAAACAAGCTTTGTTAACTGTTTTCGAACTGCAAGCTCTCCCTGTAGACTGCAGGTTCTTAAGGGCTGTTCCTCAATGAATCACTAATACATTTCTGACCAAAAAAAAAAAAAAAAAAAAATTCAATTAGTACAACTACTGATCAAAAATCATGAAGACTAGGGGCTGAAGAGATGGCTCAAAGGTTAAGACCATTTACTCCTATAAAAGACCTGGGTTCAGCACCCATACAGTTGCTCACAAATGCCTGTCACGCCAGTTCTAAAAGAGCCAATGGCCTCTGCATGCACAGCAGCACACACATATACATGTGGGCAAACACTCATGCACAAAATAAAATAAATCTAAAAAATATTTAGGAAAATAAGCAGATGGAGGTGGACATGGTGGCTAATAGTTAAAATTACACCTAGCACTTGGAAGGCAGAGAGAGATGACAAGACCCTGCCTCTAAATGGGGTGGGGTGGAGAACAGTACCAGATGATAGCAATAGGACAATGGTAAGTGTCGTGGGTGGGCTAACTCCAATCCTCAGCACAACCACAGGCTGAGGTTCAGGACAGATGTCAGAAAGCATCTCCGTGACTCCTGTCTTAGAATGTGCACAGATAGTACCATTTAGTGCTGAATGTATCGATTTCCTAACACTCCTCAATTAAACCACTCACATCGTACAACTTTAACTATAGGCAAGGACCTCTGTTCCTCCCTCTACTCTCACACCACATCTCTCTAGGAAGGCAGACATTCCTCCACCTGCACCAGAGTCCAGGACACACACAACTCCTTTTCTACTAGGCCTGGGCACTAAAAGCTGGAGTATACTAAACATCCCCTTCACTCCACCCTCAAAAGACAGAACTGGGCAAATGAATCCAGGGCTAACTCTCTGGAGAAAGGTTTTCATTTTTAAAAGGGGGATGGGGGGGGGCTGGAGATCTAAAAACAAAACTGATAGTTGACCAACAAAATGATGGCAAAAGATTGGTTGTTTGATCTGGTTTTTCAAGACGGGGTTTCTCTGTAGCCTTATCTGTCCTGGACTTGCCTTGTAGACCAGGCTGGCCTGGAACTCATAGCAATCTGCCTGTCTCTGCCTCCTAAATGCTGGGATTAGAGGCGTGTACCACCACACCTGGCTGGCAAAAGGTTTTATTTTTAAAATAATACAAAAAACTCAGGAGTAGTACAGTATTTGGCAGTGAGGAAAATCCTAACTTGCTAAGTTTCAAGCTCAGTAATGACAATGTATGAGGTAAAGGGGGAAAGTTTCAAAGTTGCACTTGCAAAACATATTATTTTAAAGCTAACTCTTCCGGCATCTATCTGAAAGATGGTGTACTGGCACTATGTCTTCCTGCCACTGAAGGACCTCCAAGGCAGGATCCAGGTACTGCAGACATAACTCCCAGGCAACCTGGAATTCAGCCCTTAAATCTGCACTCTACTATAGTGGTTCTAAAAGGCAGTGGCACTTCAGTATTGTCTAGGAAGGTTTATCAAGCCTGCAAGATGATTCAGTGGTTACAGATGCTTACCACTGTCTTGATGACCTGAGTTTGACCCCTGCACCCTATGTGGTAGAAGGAAAACCGACCTGCACAGCTGTCCTGACAACCATATGTGTGCTGCAATGTATGTGTACCTACACATATGCACACGAGAGCTCACAAATACATAAACTAAGTTTTAAAAAATTAGTCTCAACCCCACTACAAATTTCCAGAAGTGAAGTTCAATATCCATGGTCTTAAAGTATCCCAAATGATTCTCATAATATCAGCACCACTAATATTTAGGGCTGGATGGTGGCAGGGGATGGTGAGGGTAGGTGGGTGGGTTTACAATATTCTGTGCACTGCAGGAGGTTTATCAGTAGCCATAACATCTACAGCAAACCAGAGGTGTGATAAAGCAAAAAGAATGTTTCCTGTGAGGACAAATAGCTGAAATATCCTCACCTAGCATGAGTAAGACTGTAGGTTCAATTCCCAGTACCACAAGCAACAAGAAAATTTCACTGAAAAAAAAAATTTTTTTTTAAGGAGTTCAGCCCACCTTGAACTCCAGCTCTTCTTGACTATACTTCCCCCAAGTGCTGGGATTACAGGTACATGCTACCATGCCCAGCTTTACTAATTTCTTTATCTCTTTGGGTACCAAAAACAGATGTCAGGGCCTCATGCAGACAAGTGCCTTATAGAGCTAGACTCCCAGATCCAAGGCAATCTTTGTAGCAAAGAAATGCTTCCATTACCCTTATTTCATCAATGTGGTATCTATACACATTATCGTCAAGCACACTGTTCCACATAAATGTAGTTATCATGGGCTCACTAAATAGAAAGTCAACTGACATCTTGAGATGTGACATGT